TAATATTTATACATTTTATGTATAAATATTAGCAAATGTAAGATTATTTTTAATTAATATTTTATATATTTTATGTATATATAATAATAAGTTTATTATAAATATTTAGTATTAGAATTGTCATTTCTGTCGATTATATCTAGTATAATCGACAGAAATGACTGTCGATTATAGAAAGTATATTCGACAGCCACAATGGCTGTCGATTATACCTATTTAGTCGACACTTTATCATAATCGATAGAGTTTTTGTCGATGATATAAGTAAAATCGATAGTTTTTTTACTATCGATCATATTTTTGTTGATTATATGCTGTTTTCTAGTAGTGTACTTCAAAACTTGCATCCACATGCTTATGTTGTTTTTGAAACTGTTTCAAACACCTTTTGTTCCTTTGAATAGCTAACGCACAACCCACTGGGTTTAATTGCCAATCATAAAATGAAAAAACATACCTCTGCACCTTGTGTTTGAGCTAGACAAAGGATTTACCTTGTACCGCATCCAATACTTGTTGTCCCAAATTCCTCCCATTTTTAAATACTATACTATTCCTCCAATACCGAATATACCAAGATACCAATAAAAAAATACAAGAACCCATCTCTTTTCCTACAAGCCTTCCCAATCCAAATAGAAAAAAAATCTACTATTCCATCCACTATACTCGACAGCATGCCCTTCATACCCCACCACTTTAACACCTACATCCATACCAACCAAGATTCTCGACAAGTACAACGAGAAATACATAGACCCTCCACAGCAGTAATATCCACCTCCGTCTTCCCCTCATAATATTTCTCCCACAACACTTGTTTCCATAATCCCCATGACCCATATCCTAGTCTATACCACCACTTACCAAGCAAAGCCCAATTTCTTCTACTTAAATCAAAAACCCCCAAACCCCCCATCTTCTTAGTGTAACAGAGAGACAAGATCCCATTTAACCCATGGGATTTTTCTCTTAAGCTTAGGTCCCCCCACACAAAAAATCCCTCTAAATGCCAATTAACTCATTAATCACACAATTAGGCAATGAAAATAAAGACAAATAAAAAACCCTTAAAAGAAAGTGCAAAGCCCTATTAAAACTTACTTCATCCGAAAATAACTATTACTTAAAATTTATTAATTTTTTAAAGGAGATAAATATTTTTTATATTTTAATTTTATTGTTATTGAGTATTTATTAATATTAATTATTTTTTTACTT